TAAATTTTTGGGTCCTACCTTACCTAGTAACTTAGACATTTGTCCTAAAAATCTTAGCTTATAGTTCACAATCATCTCTCATTATTAATAAGCTTACTTGATTCAATGATGACAAGAATCTAGAGAAAATGACTTTTAAAGATTTGTCTTCCTCTTAGGAAACATCAAATTACTTGCTATCAACATAACTTTGATTAAATTCTTTTTTATGCTTCCTAGGGCCAAAAATTCAAACCTTGGTCCCATTAATTCCCTTTTATTATAGGAAAAATCTTTAATTTTTTCAAGCCCAAAATCAACTTGGAAGTATTTTTTCTACAATTTCTCAAAAATTGCCTCCTTTTGGCATAATTAGGCTTTAAATACTTTTAAAGTCAACCTCTTTGTATTTTGGGGATGGAATCATTTTTTAAACTTAAATAATTTCTCAAATAATTAATTCCAATTTTTATACAATTATTTGAGGCATCCTTATATTTTAAATAATTGGATTTGTCTAAATATCACTTAGTTAACCAAATTTCTAAAAATATCATAAATTCACTTTTTGAGGAATTTTTATCTCATTTTAAACCTCAAATGGGTCTTAAAACATTATTTTCCATTTTCTGATAATTTTTTATAATTTTCGGGTATAATTTTCATATTTTCATAGCCAGAACTTTTCAAAATTATGATTTTGCCCCTACCCCAACTTAACCTCAAGAATCATCTCATTGTGATCTCTATCATAACTTTTGGCCATAATGATGCTCATCTCTCCTACTACGCCCTCGAGACTTCACTGGTGTCTCTAATTTTCTCTATCTCTTAGTCCCAGAAAACTTTTACTTTGCAATTTAATCCTTGAGAAAATCCTTCTATCCTTTTACTTTGAGCAAGAGTCTGGTAGCCTAATCACTTCAAGCTATTTCTTACACTCCTAAGTACAAAATTTAAGACATTATACAAGTCAAGCAAAACAAATATTTTATATTACTAATCCTACGAGATGTGTGAAGATGTCCTAACAACTAGATAATGGCAAAGAAGCCAAGTGCTTCCATGACTCGGCAGCAAGGGACGATAAACACCAGCCCATGAGAGAAGCAATCCACAATGACCATAGCTTCAAAGCTATTGAAAATCTTACCGACACATGTGATGAGAAGCTGAATGGGTTTTGAAAATCTTCCCAGCATGTGATGAGAAGTTGAATGTAACCCAGAGGCCGCATTGAAGAGGAGTGCAATAGCTAGAGGAGAGGAAGAATTTGAGTTACAAGGCAACTTCATTGAGACCCAAACACCATAACACTAAAAAATACATAATCCAATGTAAATAAAAGCATGAACAAAACAATGCCATAACGAAGAAGAGAATAAGAGAAAATTATTGCCAAATAAAAGTAAGAAAGGGTTTAGAAAGGCCCAAAACCTACGTTTGGCCATGAACACCCTAATGAGTAGGAACAAAAGGAAACCAAAGCAAAGGCTTTTAGGACAAGAAAAACCAAGGTTCCAAGCTCAACCAAGCAAAATATCATGGCAAAGAAGAAAGGAGATGGAGAGTAGGTAGAAAAGTCTGTTTGTGGCAGTGGCAGTCTCACCCAAGAGGGGGGTGAATTGGGTGAGTTATAAAAATTTACGAAATTAAAACTAAGAACTAACGAAAACAGAGAGCGTGAGTTTAAAATGATTTCACCATAGAGAGGAAGACACAAGATTTATACTGGTTCGGTCTCAACCACTTGACCTACGTCCATCCTCAAAACACCTTTGAGTATTTCACTATGTTCCAAGATTGATCGGGCTCTTGGCGCCTCAGTACAGTAATTTAAACTCTCAATCACTCCCCCTTACTTCCCATAAGGTTACAAACCTACTCAAGAGTCCACACCCTTGAGTATCACACAAGCGTGATTAATGAATAGTAAGTAAACTCTTTTACAGAGTGAATAAATGATAATCACTGACGCTCGGTGTTATGGAAGAATAGAGTATTGAATGCAATAGTAAAAATCAACAGAGGGTAGCTCACGTATTCAATTTGTTCATTTAATGCTTCTTCACGCCTTTTATAGTTGAGGTCATTTAGTAACTGTTAGACGGAAGAGCTTCTAGCCGTTGAGAGTCCGGTTGCATGTTTTTCCAGTTGCAACGGTTTCCACCACTAATGCTTCTGACAAGGTAGGTTACAGGCTACTTGGACAACCGTTGGAGAGCCGTTAGGATTTTTTTTTGTAATCTGCAAAAATACATTAATTCAATAAGTTTTTCTCTGTAGAATAAGATCAAAAGTAGAACTGAACAAATGATAAAACGAATATTCATAGTTTATGGTTAGAATCAATCAGTTGTTAGATGCGCTGGGTAATAACTGAACGTGCTTGATCGAAGTGATATTCGATTATAACTTGATCGATCAGGTTATCAATTATTCTGAGTAAAAGCTTTTGAAATAGATAACTAAGATTATCGATCAAGTGATGGATCAAAATTTATCGATCAAGTGATCGATAAAAGGAAATAGTGTCATCATACTGTAATGCATAGAAAAGGAAGATCAAGGTTGCTTTTGATTTTGAAACTCTTTAAATAGTGAAATAAGATATTTATGAAGGCGGAGAAAGGCTCGAATGAAATAGATGATAAATTTTGAGAAACATTGAGACTAGTTAAGGTTTAAACTAAAATCGCCTCATGATCGAACATTTGTTGATCGATCAGGTTATCAATAAACAAAGTGTTATAGAAATAAATTTTGGAACACTAATTTTCAAACACTTTATCGATAAACAGATGATAGATAACCTTATCGATAAACAATAAGCAAAAGTATATTTGGTGAAAACACAGGCTATGTAAGTTGATCGAATAGGTGATCAATAAAACGTTGATCGATAATGTTATCGATAAAGAAATTTATCCTTGTAAAACCAAAGAGCTAATTTATCAATCATGTTATGTGAAAACAAGGTAAACATGAAGTGTGTTTATCGATAATATTATCAATAATCTGATTATCAATCCGATGATCGAAGAGCCACGATCTAACAAAGATATGCTAATTATCGATCATGTGATAGATAATTTTCTGATCGATCAGGTGATCGATAAACCACTGAAATAAATACCTGCACGCAAAGTTATGAGGCAATGTTCGATCATATTATCGATAAATGGCTGATCGATAATGTGATCGATAAATGGCAACAAAAGCAAAATATAGAATGAGCAAAGCGCATTACCATTTATCTGTCTTCTCATCGATAATCGGTTTATCGATCATGTGATTGATAAATACCTATCAAATTTGTATCCTGATATTCGATCATCCTAATTATCGATCAAGTGATCGATAATTTATTCCAGATTTTCATATACGACTAAGTTAAAAATGATCGATCAACACATTATCTAACACGTTATCGATCAAAGTTTCTGCTGAGTTTACTTAATTAAACACAGATATTATCTATCAGCTTATCGATAAAACCTTGATCGATCAACATACTGAAACACAAATTACTCACTTTGTTATCATCAAAACCTTAAGCCTAACAAAGTCAGCGCAAAAGAACAAATGTTAGAGGAGAGAAGACTGAGAAAACGGATAGAAAAGAAGGAACAATGACAGAAGAACTAAGTGGAGAGCGGCATGTGGAGGAAAAAGGCCAAAAAAAAAAACTTTGGTAGAGGTGAATGATAAGGCCATGGAACAAGAGTAAGGAAAAAAGCTGTGGAACCAAATGATGGGGACACGGCAGTGGAACAAGGACGGAGATTAAGGTGATGGAGAAGAAAGAAGGAAAGTAGTAGAGAGAGGAATAACGAAGAATGAGGCAGTGAAATCAAGATGATGAAAACAAGGACAAATACAAGGATAAGAAGATGCAAAGACAAAGAGGAAGGCAAGGAGAGACGAAAGCATCATAAAGATGTCGGTGAAGCATCACAGAAATCCCGGAAAAGCTCTATAAAGACGCCTACAAGAGAGAACCCCGCTGAGGATTTGGGTTCAAAGCTCATGTTTATAGATTTATGACTTAAATTAGTAGGCTTATGACATTCCAGATTTGGCAATTTCAACAAATTCCCCCTATTCGTGCTTTGTTCCGTGCCAATTCATATTTTCCGGATTTAAAATTATTTATTTTTCTTTTTTTTTTCCTTGAAATATCGAGATGCCATAAACTTTTAGTTATTCGACTAAGGGTTTGAGAGGAAAATTTGAGAAAATTGATTGATTTGCTCCATCTATTCAAATGCCAAAATTGACAATTGCTTGAGTTTGATTTAGAGTCCAGGAAAGATGTCATTGAACCTAAATTGAAACGATAGCATAAAACTTGAATGATAATTTAAAGATTCAAGTTTTTTTTTTTAAAGAGTCTCACCTAAAAGAATTAAATTTTAGTTTAGACCAGGATCATTACATCTTAGGCGAAGAACCTGCAGTCATTTACCATCTCATTTCAAATTCTAGTTATTATCTCTTGTTCTAAATATAAGAGCTAGCTATAACCACCATTAATAGAAAGACTTCTTAAGAAAAAAAATACATAAATATGAGAAACAAAATGAATTAAAATCTTATATTTAAAATTAAAAGAAAAAATATATATAAATATGAGAAACAAAATGAATTAAAATCTTATATTTAAAACTAAAATAAAAGTCAAATGAATCAATCTGTTCTCGTTTATTTTTCAACAGTGACCCCCACCCCAAAATTGACGAAGTGTCTTTAGTATGAATCATGAAACCCAGCATCGCATTTTAAAAAGCACCAGCCTAAAAATCTTTGGTCCATTGAATCATTTCAAGTCTTCAATCAAGATAAGCCCATTGGTTAAAGAAATCTATGCCTTCATTTGATCCATGGTCACGCTCGTTCATTTGATCCCAAAAACCAAAAACGCCCCACTCGTCTCAAATCCCCACTATGGACATTCTTCTTCCCTCTTCATCGATCATAAGAAAATATATAGTCAAGAGTTTGCATACGCACATAACTCTCAGTAATTCTTCTTAGTTCAATGCTACTATAATAAACATATTATTAAATGAGCAATTAACAAAGCTTAGATTCTGATATTACCATAAACTGCATCATTGGATGCACACAGAGTTAAGAAAACTCCCAAACTAGTATAACAAACAAGAAACAGAGAGTAAGGCCGTGAGGGGTAGGTACTTGGACAAATTTGAAGTCAACCTACCTACCAATATACCACTTCAATGCACTTCCCGGCCCCTAACCTACCAGCCTGCATTCTTCAGCTTGTTACCACCGTACAAACGAAAGAGACTGAAAGCAGAAATACAAGAGAGGACCACCATGGAAAGACTAGCCACAAGAGCACTAGCTATCCCTTCTCCCACTTGGTTACAGAACCTACCATACATGTTACATATCTTCATCCATTGAAGCTCTGTCTGACCCACCTTTGCAAACACTGCTGATTGTAATGCAGCTGCCACTGCTGAAACTGTCACATACGCCATTACCTGCAAAAATTTGCATAATTCTGTTTCTTTATAACTTTCAGTATGGATCGCTCAATTTTTGAGCAAAAAAAATGTTCAGGTTATGTTCCATTCTTAGGGTTCAGCCAAAAAAAAAAAAGAGGTTCCATTCTTAGGGAAATGCCTAATTCATCTGTGACTTAATTCAAAGAATTGGCCAAGTTAGCTAAGGTTCACACAAGTGGTGTTGTGCTTAAACCAGACATCAGTTCTGAGCGTGTAGCTCAAGTGGTAAGAAATGAGGTTAAGACAAAGGTGTTGTTAAGTTGCATTCTTATAAGGGAAAATTGCGTGATTTTTGTCATCCTTAAATCACTTGGGAAGTGAAAATTTTGTGATTTTATAAGTTGTCTCCCACACCTTATTTCATGTGGCACAATCTGAACCACACCAATAAATGCAACGTTAAGAAAAAATTACTTCAGAAAACTTCACAAAACTTTCACTTCGAGAGATCCTATTCATCACTAAACCACTTCTTTGAGGTTGAAATTACATTTTCTGTAATTGGGAAAGGAAGACGATGTTCTACGAAGGTCAGAGTGTTGGAAAAATTTTCATTTTCCATACCATGCCCATTGTGCTATAAATGTGGAATGAGAAATTGAAAACCCCAACAACCAGGAGGCATCTTGTGACCCCAATTCTGGAATTAGGTATGTCTTATGATGAATGACTTGACTTGCCCATCCTAGAAGTTATGCCGTTTGGTTTCCTTAAAGACAAGAAATAGGTCCGCTCAAATAATACCAGTTACCCCTGGATTACAAAGCCTTAAATATAAAACATCAACCAATTGGACCCTACTCTGACATATACATCCAATAATAATAAGAATAATATATGGTAAAGCAAACACAATTGGAATCAAACTTTTATCTATGAAGGAGGTGGTTGCCTTATTCCTTTCACATGGGTTTCCACGTTCCTGCCCCTTTGATCAAGTTAACATACTAAAAGCAGAACAATTCTGATATGCCACTTAAGAAATGGTTGAGAATATGAACCCCTAAAGAATCAGCCACCACAAGACTTAAAATTTGGTAAATTTTCACGCCAAAAAAAGGAAAAAAAAAAAAAAACCCTGTTTCAAATGGATATAGAAGACACAGGCTGCAGATGCCCTGAAAACTTATATAGTGACGGGTTCAATTTTAAGTTGAGAAAATGATAGCTAAGGGCACAATTTAAATTAATGGAAGTTAAAAGCTACACTGATCAAAACTGCTTTCAAGATTTATAGAACTAAGTTCTACTCTCTACTTCATTAAGTTTTTTTCAAAGATCCCTAAAAATTACAATCCGATCTTCCAAATGTTAAAGAGATTTTTTTCATTGAGAAGTAATAATAAATCAAAACATTTCTATAGACTTTGAAAGATCAAACGAGAAGCATTAATGATAATTTATTTGCGTGATCATTAAGAGACATTTTAAGACATTAACAATGAACCAAGCTGAGTCCTTAGTTGTCGTTTTCCTTTATGAAAGTGTCATTAAAGGGAACCATTCCTTTTGTAAATAAAACCAATCAAATATTGCTCATATAGGATCATTTGTCAGTTCAAAAATTCAGGCATCAATTCTGCCATTAAACTCCATTTCATCTGAGAAAAGGGATCATGGGGTATGAACCTGATCCGCCAAGAAAATAACCCAAGCCAAAGGCTTGCTGAAGAGTAAAGTTGCTGCAACCATACTCACAGCACAGCGCAACCCCTGAATTAAAGAGTAACCCGCAGCTATCCCGTTGACTACAACCACAAACCTGCAATAGTTTTCACAATGAAAATAAACACAGGAAAGCCAAAATGTTCAGTTCATCGGCCTATACAAATGCGGGTTCAAGTCAGGAAACCCCAACCCATCAAAACTTTTGTTCCAAAGAAAATAAAGAAGACAAGAAGAATGACAAGAACTTACACTAAAACCTTCATGTCTGTAAACTTAGCTCTCTTCCGAATAGAGAAAATCTCTTTGACTTGTGAATCAGTCGCCACAAGAACAGCTGCGAGAATTCCCAGAGCGACAATCACACACCTCAACACCAACTCTACGGTTCTCACCCTCCTATCCAAAACCCTAACATTTGAGCCGTGATACACTGGCACAGTCCCCGGACTCGCCCCTACACCCAGATAGCTCATTTTCACCCAGACACATACAACAATTTTCCACGAAAGTAATGAGCTCTTCGCTACTTAAATAGGCCCTCCCACAAAGTTATTGCATCGGTTTCTGAAATTTGGGATTGTGACGATGGAGCTGATCTTGACAAGTGGTCAAAGTCGGAGGGCGAGAGGACAGAGAGAAAAGCGCAGCTCAGCACCTATAAACATGGGGTCATTTAATGCCTCTGCTTCTGCAATTAAGGACCGCAAAATGGAAAAGAAGAAAAAAGAAGGGGAAAAAATTGTGATTTTTAGAATTTAGAGCTTCTTTATGATTTCTGGGAACAAGTAACAGATTAACAGTTTCACACTTTCATGTCCCTAGAAAAGAAAGGGGTCTGATAAGGTGAGGGTGGCGGTGGGGTGTCTTAATTGAGGTGGCGCTCTATTTATGATGCCCCGTCTCTTTTGCTTTCGCCATGCCCCTCGGATTGGTTGAAACAAGTAGTGCAATTCTTTTGGCCACTCTTAACATCAATTTCTTACTGTATACCCACCTTTAGAAAATGAAAAATGTACATTAGGAAAATTACATAAAAGTTCCAAGTAATATTATCTCCGGTTTTAATTATAAAAACTGACTAATTTAAAAAGATTAAGAAAATGAGTTAAATTAATTATTTATAATAAATAGGTATTATCTTTTCTAAAATATCCTTATTAATCAAGTGTATTGACTAGAACTGGATTACTTTAAAAAAAAATACATAAATATGAGAGACAAAGTGGATTTGGGTTTTATATTTAGGATTAAAATAAAAATTAAACGAGGTCTTATATTAAAGACTGAATGTAGTATAATTTATTAATTTAAGGCTTATTGAAATCTTAAAATAGATACGAGGTACTATGAGACTTAAGAGTAATATATTCTAAATAAAAAATTACGTTATTGTCCATGTTCCTAATTGATAAGTCATGGGCGTGGACGAACAAGTTAATTAAAAGCTATTAACAAGTTAGGGAGTGTTAATTGACAATTAAATTTATGAGATAATATAACATCCACATAAGATCAAATTATAACAAAAGAGCATTATGTAACAATTTTTAAACTAAAATCATGCGTGACAAAAGCATGCAAATTGATATTATATTAAATGATGGGTTTATATTATAATTTTGTTGCAAACAACCACTAACAAATTCATGGGTATGGATTAACATGTAAATGGCAACCTATTGACAAGTAAGGGATTGACAACTAAATATATGATCACGTAAAATCAAATTAAAAAAATTCTTATATAACCCACAAATTCATTCCTCCATCAATCATGCCCTAAAGTCGATGGCTGAAAGCTGCTCAACCTCTGGACTCCTTTGATCCCAAAATCCCACATTGTTTTTGACTTTTTAACATCTTTTAGCAGTTAATATATTAGTATGGAAATCAAATGCGAAATAAGAATGATGTTTCTGAGCCAGAAAATTCGTACTTGAGAAATCACCCACTGGACTATAAGATTACAAAAAGAAAGGGATTGAAAGAATATTAAGTGAGTTTTAAAATAAGAGAAAGGTAGAAGATAGATAGAGCTGAGATTCTTCCTTTGATTCATGTTTGTTGGTGTTTTACTGATTCCCATCGTTAGAATCTGATTCATGGACGGATCAATGAGCTGTAAAACAAGGACAGATACCGTGGGTAAATTGCATATAGCAGTACATTAAGAATTTAAGGAGCTGAATATCATGAGTACGATGCTTGTTTTTTTCCTGGATCAAATGCATCACTTTGTATTTGGTGTGGTGAGATCCAATAAGGCTCAAAGCTAACGAAATGCCAACAAATTAACTGTCATTCAATGCTTTCTCACGAGGGAAAACATGCTTTTCATGATTTGCAGTATATACCAATATTTATTCAAAAGTGACAATATATAATTTTAGTCGTTTCATTCATCCTGGCACACTATATTCAGTGTAACAGCAAAGTTTACTTGTGCGTGTGTGTGTGTGAATTTTTGTGTGTATAGCACTAAATGGGATAGGACTAAATTGAAGCCACATAAACTGGGAGCTACACAGAGCCAACAAATTAATTAATAGTAGGGGACAATTTTTTGTACTAAATTATATAACAAACCCTTCACTACAAAAAAAATATAACTATAAAATATTTATTTATATATATATATATATATAACTTTCAGCAGTTATGCAAAATGTCTTGCCACTGAAAGTACACTTTCAGTGGTGACTTTTTAAAATAACCACTAAAGGTCAATTTTTAAAAGCAAGACTTCTAATGCCACTGCTGAAAAGGCTGTCATAGCTGAAAGAAGCTTTTAGTAGCAATTCAATATGTTGCCCCTAAAAGCACCTTTCAACGGGGATATTTTTGGTCACCGCTAAAAGATAGTTTCAGCGGTAGCTTTTTGTCGCCACTAAAAATTTATTTCAACTTTTTATTATTATTTTAAGTTTTTTATTTAAAAAAATATCATGCTTAGACAATAATTTTGTTCATTGATATGATTTGTTATGAAAAATAAAATATTCTTACATATTGTTGTGTTACAGAGAGAGAGGGGGGGTGTTAAAGAGATAATATGACATGTGTGAGAGTAAGCGAGAGGGAAGGAAGAAGGAATGTGTGTGTGTGTGTATGAAAGTGAGTATTCTAATTATGTGTGTGTGAGTTAAATAATCATGATAAAATTTATAATGAAATTTTTTTTTTATATAGCATTTTTATATTTCATAATTATAGATATAAATAATACAATAGCTTAAATAATTGAAGTAAAACAATATGACAAATAATATCGTATGAATTATATTTTTCATACAAAATAGATACTATAAATAAATATTTTAATCAAATGAGAACATTAAATATAAATATTTAAAATAGTATCATTATTTAATAATATTTAATATAATAGCTTTTAACAGTGACTTTTGGTTGTCGCCAAAGGATAGTTTCTAAAAGGTAGTTTTATTGGGGACAGAATGTCTATTTCAATATTTTATTACTATTATATATATATATATTTGATTTTACAACTATTATCATCAAATTCATTTCAACTTAATGGCAAAAAGAAGAGACGTAGTAGAAGGAGGTTAGTAGTTTGAATCATAGAGGAGCTATATTTATACTGATAATATCCAATTGGTGACATGGCACATCAAGGTGTGAACATGCGGCATAAGCAAGGTGGCAAGTGATGTGGCGACAATTGGTGGGTGGCCGGCAGTGATGTGGCAACTGGCCAGTGATGATGTGGCAGCAGTCAATAGCCAAGCGATGATAATGTAGTAGTGGCTAATGGTGGTCCTATTTTCTCTGGCAAAAATTCACTGCTAAAAAGGGTCTTCAGCAGTGACCTTTGTATTGTCACTGAAGGATCTTTCAACAACAACTCTTTTTGTCACCGCTGATAAGTTTTAACGATAGTCGTTATGGTAACGACTTGGCTGTCATTGCTGAAAGTTAATTTTTTTTGTAGTGCTTGCACTTATCAATGTTATTTACAAATTTTTCCTAATTTGATCTTATGTGAACATTATATTATTTTATAAATTGAGTAGTCAACCAACATCCCCTAACTTGTCAATAGATTGTCATTGACTTGTTAATCGAGACCCATAAGTTTGTTAATGGCTGTCTGCAACAAAATCATGATATAAACCAATTATTTCATCTAATATTAGTCTGCATGCTTTGGTCACATATGATTTTAGATTAAAAATTGTTATATAATACTCTTTTATTATAATTTGATCTTACGTGGAGGTTATATTATCAAGTTTAATTGTCAACTGATACCCCCAACTTATCAATAGTTTTCTATTAACTTGTTAACCCACACCTATAAGCTTATCAAGTTTTATGGGCCTCCTATTCATTTTTAGATTTCAAAAGACCTTAGATTAATAAACTTTGTCGCTTGGGATTTGCGTGTATATTTGAAGACCCAGGTTTTAAATTAAAATAAATAATCTTAGACATTATAAGTATTTCATGCGACGAACTTGCCCAAATATTGTGGGATTTATAATTGTTAGCTTTTCTTAAATTTCTATCAAAATTGACTTTGAATTATACGTAATAAATAAAAATTATACCTCCTATTTTTAATAAAAGAACTAGTTTGGAATTGAATTTGGTCTTCCATTTTGTACCCCCAAATTTGTAATTCATTATTAATTACACATATTAAAATATTTTTATTCAATGGTAGTCATGATTAAAAGGTACTTTAGAACAAAAAGTCCAAAATGATGTAAATAAATAAAATAAGTCCATACATTTCTTTTTCCACAGTTTGACATTCACTTTACTACAATCTTACTATGTAGATTTTAAAATTAATCACCCTTTAAATTTATAAATTCTGCAATTTTTAGAGAAGAATTCTTCTTTTAGAAAAAGCGCTTAAAAGAAGGTTCGTTATCGGCGTGGCCAAGAATTTTCCTCACCAAATAGCTTTTGAAAATGTGAATTGAAGACAAAATTGTTATGTTAATCATTTAGGTTAGGGAAAACTAATTTGAAGATCCTCATAGTTTTCATCAATTTTGAATGAGGTCCCTATACTTTTTTTTCTTTTTATTGAGTCCTTTAATTTTATAATGTTCAATCTATTAGTCCCTTAGAGTTAAATCCGCAAACAGGGTTAAGTTTTCCGTTAGTCAAGTCTGAAACATCTATGCCCTTTCTCCTTCCGCCATGGTGGACTTAGCTCTTCCCTCTCCTTCATTCGTTCAACAACCTTATCTTCTTATTCACTATTCTCCCTGCTTTTTACCTCTCCATAACACCTTCCCTTCTCCTTGGCTATAAGGTCACCGGACCCTCTTCGGCCATCTTGCAGTTGCTTGTCCATTGCCATCCAGCTTGAACCTCGTTTGGAGAATTACGGTAACAAGAAGAGCATTAAAAAAGACGAAATTGTTGGATTTGTGAAAAGAAAATTGGTAAGTGATTCTTTTAAGCCCAACACCAAAAAACAAGAATTGTTGTAGAATCATCCATGGAGATAAAAATAAAATAGTACGAGAATCTGGGTTCCTCTAGCCAAGCAAAATTAAATTTATAGCTAAAATCATGGAGAGGTTGAAAGCAACGATGAGCCAATTATCAGTAGGGAGATGGTGGATAAAGAGACAAAATCATGGAAAGAGTGAAGGAGAGAGGAGAGCCTGGTTAGATATGATGGAAGGAGAGCGAAGGCAAAATGTTTCAGACTAGGATTAACGGAAAATTTAACACTGTTAACAGATTTAACTCTAAGGGACTAATATATTTAAAATTATAAAATCAAAGGATCCAATAAAAAAAAAAAAGGATCTGATTC